TGTCCCCCCGGGTAGAGTGCTGTGGCATTATAGCTCACAGCAACCTCCAACTCCTGGGCTCAAGCGAGTCTCCTGCCTCCACCTCCCAGGTAGCTAGGACCACAGGCGCCCGCCACAATGCCTGGCCATTTTTTGGTTGCAGCCATCGTTGTTTGGCGGGCCTGGGCTGAATTTGAACCCGCCACCTTAAGTGTATGTGGCTGGCATCTTAGCCACTTGAGCCACAGGCACCGAGCCTTCTCCTAAGATTTCAAAGGATGTCATAGATAGCCTGGTGGACTCAGGCAGAAACCTGCCATGGGGCAGAACTGGCAGAATTCTTACTATGGTGATACCTAGTGAAGCCATGGGAGTGGAGCCACCCTAGAGGCACCAAAACTGTAGGAACTCCAGTGTTAAATTTTAGCCTGGAGAACTGCAGGCATGAGGCTCCCACTACTGCACCATTGTATCTAGAAAGCAAGAGTTGGAGTCAAAGCAGATTATTTTCCAGTTTGTTTGTCGTCTTTTTTGAGACAGAGTCTCACTCTGTGCACTGGGTAGAATGCCGTAGTGTCCTAGCTCACAGCAATCTCAAGTTCTTAGACTCAGGTGATTGCTTTGCCTCAGTCTCTTGAGCACCTGGAGACTACAGGGGTCCACTACAATGCCCAGGTATTTTTTCTGTTTTTAGTACAGATGGGATCTCACTTTTGCTCAAGCTGATCTTAAACTCCTGAGCTCAGGTAATCTACCCGCCTTGTCCTCCCAGAATGCTACAAGTGTGAGCCACCACACCGTGCCTGTTTTCCAGCTTTAAGATTTAATGCTATTTTCCCTGTTGGGTGTTGAACTTAACTTGGGATCATTTACCCTTTTTTTCTTTCTTTTCCTTTTTTTTTTTTAAAGGCAGTCATGAAACAAAAGTTATTGAGGAAGAGAAGGATAGGTTTACAGAGTAAAAAAGCTTACAAAGCAGAATACATTCACCATAGGCACTGAATAAGCCTCCATTGCAAGGGCAAGTAGGCAAAGAGACCTCCTTTTTTCTTGTTATTTCACCCTTTAGCACAGATGCCCTCAAACTATGGCCTGTGGGCCACATGCAGCCCGCCTAGGACATTTATCTGGCCCACTGGGTATTTGTGACGCGGCTGCCTGTCCTGCTTAGCAGCTAACTTGTCCCAGGTCCCGCATTGCGGCCCTCCAACAGTCTGAGGGACAGTGAACTGGTCCCCTGTTTAAAAAGTTTGAGGACCCCTGCTAGCAGTTGGAATGTCTATTCTATGCTTATCCTTATTAAGCCTGGCAAGAGTGGAAGTGAAATCAAACAAGTTCTCTGGCTTGGTGCGTGCCCGTAGCTCAGTGGTTAGGGCGCTGGCTACATAACCTCTGGGCTGGCGGGTTTGAACCTGGCCCAGGCCTGCTAAACAACAATGACAACTACAGTGAAAAATAAAAAAATAGCTCAGCATTGTGGCAGGTGTCTATAGTCCCAGTCACTTGGGAGACTGAGTCAAGAAAGTCACTTAAGCCTAAGAGTCTGAGGTTGCTGTGAGCTGTGATGTCATAGCACTCTACTGAGGGTGACAAAATGATACTCTGTCTCCAAAAAAAAAAAAAGTTTATCTAAGTCATTGTATTTTGGAAGTAGATAACTTGTTTGATTTCACTTCCACACTTGCCAGGCTTAACAAGAGATTTGCAAATGTTCATTCATTGCTCTACTTCAAGCTCCAACATTCTTGTGGTGGCGCACAAAAACAGCCAACAATAATAACGAACACCACTCAGCAAGACATGTCCACATGTTGACATGAACACAACTGTGAGACACTGATATACCTAGGTTATAAAGTCTTACCAAGTTGTTTGTACAATGCTGCCAATGTAAGCACATTGGTGACAAGTTTGGGAACTTAATTGTCAGACCTTGAGTGGTCTATTTTGGTAAACATTTCATGTGTCCTTATTTTTTATTTTTTAAGACAGAGTCTCATTCTGTTGCTCTAGGTAGAATGCAGTGGGGTCATAGCTCACAGAAATCTCAAACTCTTGGGCTCAAGTGATCCTTTTGCCTTAGCCTCCTGAGTAGCTGGGACTATAGGCACCCACCATGATGCTTGGCTAATTTTTTTGGTATTTTTAGTAGAGACAGGCTGGTCTTGAACTACTGAGCTGAAGCAGTCCACCTACTTTGGCCTCCTAGAGTGGTAGGATTGTGAGCCACCACGCCCAACTAGCTTCCTATGTACTTTTTACTTGGGGGGGGGGGAACAGTCTCACTTTGTCACCCTTGGTAGAGTGCCATAGCGTCATAACTCATAGCAACCTCAAACTCTTGGGCTCAAGTGATCCCCTTGCCTCAGCCTCCCAGGTAGCTGGGACTACAGGTGCCCATCACAATAACCACAGCTTGGCTATTTTTAGAGGCAGAGTCTCACTCTGGCTCAGGCTGGTCTCGAACTCATGAGCTCAGGAAGTCTACCCACCTCAGTCTCCCAGAGTGTTAGGATTACAGGCATGAGCCACTGCACATGGTTGGTTTTATGTTTTTATATACTTGTGTGTGTATAGGTTGATAGTCATCTTCACATTTTCTATATCTTTAAAGATTTTTTATTTATTAGTTCTATCATTTACTACAAAATAGTGCTAAAAGTCTTTATCTATGATTGTGGATTTGTCTATTTCTTTATTTACAGTTTGGCTGGGCCAGAACTCTATCTCCCAGTCCTCTGGTATCTCTGTTCAACTCTTTTTTTTTGAGACAGAGCCTCAAGCTGTCGCCCTGGGTAGAGTGC